ACTCAGCGGAAGGCCGTATGGATGGATGGCGCTGTTATGGCGTAAGTGTGCCTTCCAGTCAGTGAATGTGATTGAGTGTGATAACGAGAGGATCTGCGCGATAAAGCTAAAAGTGAGTAATAAATTGGTAGTTATGTTCAGTGTGTATATGCCTACAAACTGATATGATAACCTTTCTGAGTTTAATGCGCGTCTGGGAGCCATTCGCTCTATAATAGAAATAGAGGAGAACAGTGGAGTATCGGCTTTTTATATCTTAGGAGACTTTAATGCACACGCTAGTGAATTATTTTATTGTTGGACTTCTTTGTGGATCTTAATTGGATTTGTGTAGATTTAAATATGTGTGCCAGTAATACATATACCTATTGTAGTGAGGCTCACGGTTGTAATAGATGGTTGGATCACTGCATTGTTACAGAGCCGGCGCGGAATACAATCGTTAGCGTAACGGTTAAATGTGATGTGTATTGGTCTGACCACTATCCACTAGTAGTCGTATGTAATCTGGGTAAACTTAAGCCAAAATTAGTTAAATTGGATACAGAAAAACCAATAAACCGTGTTATATGGAATGAGAGACAGCAGCAGCAAATTCACCAGTACCATGACCTCTGTCATGCTAAATCATAGAATTTCCACAGGAACTAAGTGCTTGTTGTAATGAGTTCTGTAATAACAAGAATCATCACTTAATCTTAGATAAGTTATATTTAGAAATTATAAATATATTGTCAGAGGCAGCTATCCAAACTCACAAAGTTAAGTGTCGAAAGAAGGGAGGTTATGGTTTTGGATGGAATAAGCATGTCGCGGGCCCCCACCGGGAGGCAAGGCTGAAATTTAAATTGTGGAATTTAGCCGGGCGGCGAGCATTTCTGGAAAAACACAAATAAAATGAATATAAGGCCGTGCCTCCCTGTAGACGTTGGTGGTGCTCAAGACCATAAAGACATTGCGAATGCTTTTAGGAAACAGTTCACCATGCAGTCACTCTTAAGTCCCATGTGTAAGGAGATGAGCGATAGTGAGACCATCGTGAAGGAACGTAATGTTAAGATACCTGCTAAAATGGTGGCTCAGATTATTGTAATAATGCAGCGTGGGAAGTCTTCGGGTCACGATGGGCTCAGTATTGAACATTTCAAATACGCATTTACCACGGGTTCTTGCCATGTTTTTTACACTGTGTCTAGGTCACTCGTATTTGCCTGAGGGACTGATGCGAACAATAGTGGTACTAATTATTAAAAATAAGACAGGTGATGCTTCTGATATTTGCAACTACAGGCCCATCTCACCTGCTACCACCGCGGCGAAAGTACTTGACAGTTTGTTATAATGGTTGCCTCATAAAATATGTAGATCTGCATGATGCCCAGTTCGGTTTCAGGGTGGGATTGTCGACGAAAAGTGCAATTCTTACATTGAAGCATACTGTCGGTTATTACACGGCTAGGAGGATGCCGGTATATGCGTGTTTCCTCGACTTTTCCAAGGCTTTTGACTCGGTCAACTATGATATACTATGGAGCAAGTTGAGGGACGCAGGTGTGCCGGCGGATTATATTTCTCTGATAATAGGTAATCGGTAATCAAAAAAACCAGGTTAGATGGGCGGCTACGCTATCAGATGAATACAGACTAAAATTTGGTGTCAGACAAGGCGGTTTAAGCTCACCGTTGTTATTTAATTTATATATTAATCAGCTTATCGTGGAACTGGTTAGCACACATGTCGGCTGTCATATTGACGGGACATGTGTTAATAATATAAGCTATGCATACGACATGGTGCTGCTCAGTCCATCTATAGGCGGGTTAAGAAAATTATTGTCTATTTGCGAGAAATATGCGGAGGACCACGGCTTGAAGTACAACTCGAAAAAGAGTGAAATTCTTGTTTTTACAGCACCGAAACAACCGCCGCGATGTGTTCCTCCCGTATACCTCAATGGTATAGCCCTAAATATTGTTAATACCGTTAAGTATCTCGATCACATTATAACGAGCGATTTAAGCGATGATTGTGAAATAGAGAGGGAGCGTAGGGCGCTGGCAGTTAGGAGCAATATGCTTACCCGCAGGTTTGCTCGATGTACAGATGACGTAAAAGTTACTCTTTTCAAAACATTTTGCCAATCTTTTTACTCGAGTAGCCTGTGGGTATCATACAGGCGACGAGCTTACAGCGCTCTTCGCATACAATACAATAACGCTTTTAGGATGCTATTAGGACTGCCATGGCGGTGTAGTGCCTCGAAAATGTTCGCGGATGCTAAGACTGATGGTTTTCATGCTGTTATGTGAAAGAAATCAGCCTCAATGTTACAGCGTCTGCGAAACAGTAACAATAGCATTTTAAAAATGATCGCGGCGAGACCAGATTGCCACTTTCAGCGACACTGGGTAGAGCTGGCAATAGGACTAAAATGTACATGAATTTGTATGTATATATAATTATAACGTATATAAATACTAACATTACTAACATAGTTATTAAGTAAAATTGTTACTAACATACTTACACTTAATTTGGACGAATTATGTCTGAATAAAGTGATTATTATTATTATTATGTGGGGTATCAACATAGTTTTCTCATCTGGTTGGGTTCTATAAATATATAATTATAAATGAAAATGAAAAGATAAATATACATACATATCGCTAACATAAACTAAATATAAAAATAAATAAATAAATAAAAGCCCCACCAGATGGAGGCCCTCGGCAGGGGAGACCAAACGGCCGAGGGTTAGGGGGAAAGGGAAAGAAACCGGCGGACGATGCGGGCGGTATCGAGGAGCACCGCCTTCTGCATTTGGGCCTGGAGCGGTCCGCCACGTAGTCCCAGCCGCCTCAGACGACCCGAGAGGCTGACTGGGATTAGCCCGTTCGCAGAGACGACTGCAGGAATAATTTCGGTCGGCAGACCACCCCACATGTCGGTCACCTCGTGAGCCAGGTCCAGATATTTTGTTTGCTTATCTGTTTCGGCTTTCACGAGGTTCTCGTCATACGGAATGGTAATGTCGATCAAAAATATCCTTGATTGTGCCCGGTCCATCAGCACAATATCAAGCTTATTCGCAAGAATAGTCCTGTCTGCGATGATGGCCCGGTCCCAATAGAGTCAATAGCTCGATCATTTTCGAGCACAGCTTCCGGCAAGTACTTGTAATATGGCAATTTTCGATCCACAAGACCGTATTTCAGAGCGAGCTCCTGGTGAAGAATTCTGGCTAGTAGGTTGTGCCTGTGCAAGTACTCAGAGTTAGAAAGCGCCGAACAACCGGAGATGACATGCCTAAGTGACTCACCGGGATGGCGACAAGCTCGACAGATGTCGACGGTGCCATCCTTTAGGATGTATCTCCGATAGTTGTTGGTCTTAATAACCTGATCCTGTATTGCACAGACAAAACCCTTGGTTTCCCCGAAGAGATCACCAAAGCGTAGCCAGTTGAGGGAGGCTACTGTGTCTAAGAAAGGCTCATGTAGAGCCTTGTAGAACCTCCCGTGGAGCTCCTTCTCCTTTCATACGGTCTCCCGGTCGGAAATGCTCCGCACTGTCGGGTCTTGCCATTGCTCGTTGGCTAAGGATAGAGGGGTAAGTCCTTTATCACAAGAAATGACGTCCTTATAGAATGGATCATCCGATCTCGCCAGGAAGTAATCACGGAGGCTGCACACTTCGCGATTATGCATGGTGAGTGCGCTCAAGAAGCCACGACCACCATGCTTTCGCGGCAAGTACAGCCTCATTACCGACGATCTCGGATGATGCATCCTATGGGACATCATGGTAGTGCGGACTTTTCTATCCAGGGCGTTAAGTTCAGTCTGAGTCCACCTGAGTATGCCAAAGGTATACATGAGGACAGGCATGACCAAACCGTTATATGCGTGTGTCTTATTCACACCGGACAAAAGGCTGTTAAGCACTTTGGTCAAGCGTGCATAAAACACGTCGCAAACTGACTGTTTCATACCAGCCTCATCGATACCGATGTTCTGTGACATACCCAGGTATCGGTATGTTTCAGCCTCGGAAAGGGCCCTTAAGTTGACGGGCATAGATAAGTCTATGCCCTCAGAGTTAGCAACCCTTCCCCTTTCAACATGGAGGACTGCACACTTATCCGTCCCCAGCTCCATTCCAATAGAACTGCTAAATTCACAAGTGATGTTTAGCAATTCCATAAGATGGGAGCGACTGGAGGCGAATAATTTGAGGTCATCCATATAGAAAAGGTAGGTCACGTTTGTACATACCTTCCGAAGCTGAAATCCCCTTCCGGAGCCCTCCAGTAAAGTACTGAGAGGGTTCAAAGAGAGGCAGAACCAGATTGGACTCAGACAGTCACCCTGGAATATACCCCTTCTTATCCTTATGCGGCTTTCCGCAGCCGTCATCCGCTCGCCCAGATGATAGAGGATCGTACTCCACTGCCCCATACACTGCCCGAGGAAGTCTCGAACTGTACAGTCAATCTTGTACAGCTCCATGGACCCTCTTTAGCCATGTATGGGGCAACGAGTCAAATGCCTTTCTGTAATCTATCCAATCTATCCAAGCGGCGGAGAAGTTCCGACGGTTGCGTTTCACCACTTTGCCAATGACCGCGTCAATGAGGAGTGGTTCCTTGGTTACCCGACCGCCGCCCCGACATCCATTTTGAGCGCGCGACATCACCTGATTTGAGTCCAGGTGACGAGCGATTCTCGCGCTCAAGATGGATGTTAGTGTCTTGTATATAGTCGGTAAACACGTGATGGGGCGGTATTTGCTCGGGTCTTTGGTACCCTGATCTTTAGGAACCAAATGAGTGATCCCAGTAGTGAAGAGGCTTGGGAGCGACTTCTGGTTGAGAGCCTCTTGAAACTGTCGGGTGAGCACAGAGTGACACACCATGAACCCCTTCAGCCAGTAGTGATGCAGCCCGTCAAGCCCGGGACTTTTCCAGTTCGGGGCCCTACGGACCGCCTCAGCTACGTCATCCGGCGTTATGATGACTCTTCACAACTTCCATCCAAGGGCCCTCGCTGTAGTTTACGGGCTCTGACCACAGGCCACGCCAAAATGCGACAGTGTCGGCCTGATCCGGTCCTGGGCCCGCTCCACATACCTCTGGTCGCTCCAATGATTTATAGAGCCTCTTCTGATCACTCTGGAAGAGACGATTCTGGTTGAACCGCCTTGACCTCTCGCTAAATCGTCGAATCCGCTTCCCCCAAGCAGCGATTTTTTGCTTCAGGTCATCTATGCGCTCCGTTAGTTTTTGCGTGATATCCGGCTGGAACAAACTGATATTTGTCCCAGCAAACGCTATCCTAACGGTGTGCATAATCCTCGGTCTATTATTACCCGACCTGAAGCTTGTAGTGTAGGGCCTTGCCTTTGCGTGGTCTCAATTGGGCTACTTTTGAGGAGTAGGATTTGGGCAGGAGAGAGGGGTGCTTGGGTTTTCTTTTGTTCTCCAGGGGATAGATACTTTGTCAGTAGTGCGTCCAGCCGGGTGTCCAGTGCGGCGCCAAAAAGAATTGAATCCGTCTCGCAAAGGTCCCGGCTGGCTTCTAAGTAGGTCACCAGCATTGGGTTAAGAGCCCGCACGACAGCCCGATTTCGCTTGCTAAGGGGTATGCGGGGAAGTCGCGGTCGATTTTCGAGAGGCATGCTGCGCGTTTTCAGCATTGACTCTTCAATATGCTCCTCATTTTCTCTAGTTCGTGGAAGACTATTCCATCATCGTCTGAATTAGCCACAAATGGAATGTTGACGGTAGCATCCACATATGCAGTTTGTTGCGCATCTAGTGGCGCCGCATTCCCAGCCGTAGCATTTCCATTCGATGAAGGAATAGCCTCACGTCGTAGTCGCTCGAGTTCGGCGTCACCAAATATGTTGGAGCGCAGGATGTACCTAACTCGGTCTGCCAGGTTTTGCTCAGTGACGGATAGAGATGGCTCCAGCTCTGCAAAAAAGCGATGCATCCGAGCCCGATACGCCAAACATCCAGTTTCTTCCCCTTTTGCCCTAAAATACGCCCGCCGCCCCTTTCATTCATTGATTTAGACCAACGCATGCGACGTGCTCCACCAGCGGCGGGTGCCGCTTGCTGAGTCCGAGAAGACCTAGCCGACACCAAGCCTTCTGGTGGGGATGATGGATGCGAGGGGCTGCTAGGTGGTCTTGCAACACCCCGCGCTCGGCGGCGGCCCGCATGCTGTCGCGTCCAGCGCCAGCTCCAGACGCGCCCTGGCGACGCATGGCCCTTTGCGCACTATCTTTTTTCCATCATCCATAATATGGGCGTCCATTACGGGAGAGCCGGACTTGTGGGAGCACGGGCCTTTGCACCTGAATTCTGCCGAAGCTATGGGCTGAGAGTTGTGCAGTTTTGTATAACTGTTACGTCAGCGGGCGATGGGTCGTCAATTCCCTATTATTATTATGTGTATGGGGTATCTATATAGTTTTCTCATCTGGTTGGGATCTATAAATATATAATTATAAATGAAAATGAAAAGACAAATATACATAAATATCAATAAAATAAAATAAATATGAAAATACATAAATAAGTAAAAGCCCAACCAGATGGAGGCCCTCGGCAGGGGAGACCAAACGGCCGAGGGTTAGGGGGGAAAGGGAAAGAAACCGGCGGACGATGCGGGCGGTATCGAGGAGCACCGCCTTCTGCATTTGAGCCTGGAGCGGTCCGCCATGTAGTCCCAGCCGCCTCAGATGACCCGAGAGGCTGACTGGGATTAGCCCGTTTGCAGAGACGACTACAGGAATAATTTCGGTCGGCAGACCACCCCACATGTCGGTCACCTCGTGAGCCAGGTCCAGATATTTTGTTTGCTTGTCTGTTTCGGCTTTCACGAGGTTCTCGTCATACGGAATGGTAATGTCGACCAAAAATATCCTTGACTGTGCCCGGTCCATCAGCACAATATCAGGCTTATTCGCAAGAATAGTCCTGTCTGTGATGATGGCCCGGTCCCAATAGAGCCTGGCGCGATCATTTTCGAGCACGGCTTCCGGCAAGTACTTGTAATACGGCAATTTCCGATCCACGAGACCGTATTTCAGAGCGAGCTCCTGGTGTAGAATTCTGGCTACTAGGTTGTGCCTGTGCAAGTACTCAGAGTTAGAAAGCGCCGAACAACCGGAGATGACATGCCTAAGTGACTCACCGGGATGGCGACAAGCTCGACAGATGTCGACGGTGCCATCCTTTAGGATGTATCTCCGATAGTTGTTGGTCTTAATAACCTGATCCTGTATTGCACAGACAAAACCCTCGGTTTCCCCCGAAGAGGTCACCAAAGCGTAGCCAGTGGAGGGAGGCTACTGTGTCTACGAAAGGCCCATGTAGAGCCTTGTAGAACCTCCCGTGGAGCTCCTTCTCCTTCCATACGGTCTCCCGGTCGGAAATTGTCTGCACTGCCGGGTCTTGCCATTGCTCGTTGGCTAAGGATAGAGGGGTAAGTCCTTTATCACAAGAAATGACGTCCTTATAGAATGGATCATCCGATCTCGCCAGGAAGTAATTACGGAGGCTGCACACTTCGCGATTATGCATGGTGAGCGCGCTCAAGAAGCCACGCCCACCATGCTTTCGCGGCAAGTACAGCCTCATTACCGACGATCTCGGATGATGCATCCTGTGGGACGTCATGGTAGTGCGGACTTTTCTATCCAGGGCGTTAAGTTCAGTCTGAGTCCACCTGAGTATGCCAAAGGTATACATGAGGACAGGCATGACCCAGCCGTTATATGCGTGTGTCTTATTCACACCGGACAAAAGGCTGTTAAGCACTTTGGTCAAGCGTGCATAAAACACGTCGCAAACTGACTGTTTCATACCAGCCTCATCGATACCGATGTTCTGTGACATACCCAGGTATCGGTATGTTTCAGCCTCGGAAAGGGTCCTTAAGTTGACGGGCATAGATAAGTCTATGCCCTCAGAGTTAGCAACCCTACCCCTCTCAACATGGAGGACCGCACACTTATCCGTCCCCAGCTCCATTCCAATGGAATTGCTAAATTCACAAGTGATGTTTAGCAGTTCCATAAGATGGGAGCGACTGGAGGCGAATAACTTGAGGTCATCCATATAGAAAAGGTGGGTCACTTTTGTCCCTCCTTTCCGTAGCTTAAATCCCCTCCCGGAGCCCTCCAGTAAGCTACTGAGAGGGTTCAGAGAGAGGCAGAACCATTTTGGACTCAGACAATCGCCCTGGAAGATACCCCTTCTTATCCTTATGTGGTTCTCCGCAGCCATCATCCGCTCGCCCAGATGACAAAGGATCGTACTCCACTGCCCCCTACACTGCCCGAGGAAGTCTCTAACTGTACAGTCTATCTTGTACAGTTCGAGGACTCTCTTTAGCCATGTATGGGGCACCGAGTCGAATGCCTTTCTGTAGTCTATCCAGGCGGCGGAGAAGTTCCGACGGTTGCGTTTCACCACTTTGCCAATGACCGCGTCAATGAGGAGTGGTTCCTTGGTTCCACGACCGCCGCCCCGACATCCATTTTGAGCGCGCGACATCACCTGATTTGAGTCCAGGTGACGAGTGATTCTCGCGCTCAAAATGGATGTTAGTGTCTTATATATGGTCGGTAGACATGTGATGGGGCGGTATTTGCTCGGGTCTGTGGTACCCTGGCCTTTAGGAACCAAATGGGTGATCCCAGTAGTGAAGAGGCTCGGGAGCGACTTCTGGTTGAGAACCTCTTGAAACTGTCGGGCGAGCACAGTGTGACACACCACGAACCCCTTCAGCCAGTAGTGATGCAGCCCGTCGAGTCCCGGACTTTTCCAGTTCGGGGCCCTACGGACCGCCTCAGCTACGTCATCCGGCGTTATGGTGACGGGGTCCATGGGCGTAATACCCGCACACTGACTCGCCACAACTTCCGTCCAAGGGCCCTCGTTGTGGTTTACGGGCTCTGACCACAGGCTGCGCCAGAATGCGACCGTGTCGGCCTGATTCGGTACTGGGCCCGTTCCACTTACCATTGGTCGCTCCAATGATTTATAGAGCCTCTTCTGATCACTCTGGAAGAGACGATTCTGGTTGAACCGTGTCGACCTCTCGGTATATCGTCGAATTCGCTTTCCCCAAGCAGCGATTCTCTGCTTCAGGTCGTCTATACCCTCCGTCAGTTTTTGCATTATATCCGGCTGGGACAAACTAACATTTGTCCCAGCAAACGCCATCCTGACGGTGCGCACAATCCTTGGCCTGGTATTGCCTGACCTGAAGCATATCAGTCTGCCGATGAGGGCCCTAGCCTTTGCGATACGTTCTTCAATTCTTGTTCTCCAGGCTGGGATAGCACTACTTTGTCCAGTAGTGCGTCCAGCCGTGGAAAGTTTGGCGCCTATAATACGGCAGACTGCCAGTGCGGCGCCAAAGAGAATTGAGTCCGTCTCGCAAAGGTCCCGGCTGGCTTCCAAATAGGTCACCAGCATTGGGTTCAGAGCCCTCACGACAGCCCGATTCCGCTTGCTTAGGGCTATGCGGGGAAGTCGCGGTCGATTTTCGAGAGGCGTACTGCGCGTTTCCATAATCGCCTCTTCCAATGTACTCCTCATTTTCTCTATTTCTATTTCCTGGGTGAATGTTCCTTCATCATTTGAATCAGCAACCACTGGGGTATTCTCGGCGGCATTCACGTGTGCGGGTTGTTCTGCAACTTGTGGCACCGCACCCTCAGTCGTAGCGTTTTCATTTGATGAGGGAACAGCCTCACGTCGTAGCCGTTCGAGTTCGGCTCCATCAAATATATTTGAGCGTAAGATATACCGAACTCGGTCTGCCAGGTTTTGCTCGGTGACAGTAATAGATGGCTCCAGCTCAGTAAAAAGACGATGCATCCTAGCCCGATACGCGAAACCTCCAATTTCTCCCCCTTTCGCCCTAAAATACGCCCGCAATGCGTTTGAATTCATATTGATGGTCCATCGCATGCGGCGTACTCCACCAGTGGCGGGTGCCGATTGCTGGGCCTGCGAAGAACCTGCCGACACCAAGCAAGCTGGTGGGGATGATGGATGCGAGGGGCTGCTGGGTGGTCGTGCAGCACCTCGCGCTCGGCTGGCGGTTCGCATGCTGTCGCGTCCAGCGCCAGGTCCAGACGCGCCCTGACGACCTCCAGGCAGCGGCCCTTTGCGCACATCTTCTATGTTCCATCATCCATACATGGGCGTCATTTAACGGGAGACGCCCAGACCCGGCGCCGTTTCATGGTGAGGCCATATGCACAAGCGGGCCCTTGCACCATCAATTTTTGCCGAGGCACGGCGCTCACACCTCTTGGCAAGGTGCTGACTGACTGCGCGGACGTAGCGGTTTTGTCACATAACCGTCACGTCAACGGTCGATGGGGTCGTCACTTCCCTACTCCTTATTATTATTGTTATTATTATCACGAAAAATTAGTTTTTATATAATTTTAAACCAATACGGTATTATACTTTTCGGTGCGGTTTTATAAAATTAATAAAAAAAATATTAAAATTAATAAAAAGGACCTTAAAATTTTAGTAAAGCTTAATGACGAAGTAGACTGTATAACAAATCGAAGATAAAGAACGTGTGTCACGTGCGTACGGTAAGACGGTTTGTTTTGGAACGCGGGAGTCGTTGCGCTATCTCTGTGTTACCACCGAAAGCTCCATAAGACCCCGAAATCGGCAGTTTGTAAACAAAAGGTCACAAAGTAGCTCGCGGTCACTCCTGCGGGTTTAAAATCGAACTAAATTTGCAGCCATTGTTGTAGCAATTATCAATAATATCATCATCGTAGCAATTATAAATTAATAGTAATTTATCGTTACCATTACAGTCTATTAAAGTCCACTGCTGAACAATGTCCTACTTCATAGATTGCCTTTTTAATTTTATTTTTATTTTAATACGCCGTTTAATACGCTACTGCCCGTCTTCTCATTTCTTTCCCTCTGTCACCTCTTACGACACCCAGGTAATGAAATGGGGTAGTGGATATTCTTACACCGCCACTACACGGTACGCCCGTAAATTTTAAATCATAAAAGATAAATTTACAGCATCACTATTTCATACAAGTATTTTGTACGAATAAGAATCCATAGACAACTACTTCAATTATTGGGTTTCTGAGACGGGATCCCATTTTACGGTTCAACGCTATTTATCACAAGCATCGATTTTTTTACAAGGTAAGCGAAAGTTAGTGTTCTGTAAAATTACGATAGTTAATTGATAGCACTTTTCACAAATACTTGGAACAAATATGGTGGAAAATATTAGTTCGAAAAGTTTAGGTATTAGAAAGTTAATTCTGAGAATTTTATTTGAAATTTTACAGGTGCCTTACGTAGATTAAAAGTGTAATAGGTGCTAAAAAATAATTTGCTAAGTTCCGCGTAATAAAATAAAATGATGTATCTTACCTAGTTTGAAGAGCACTTCCAGCCCTCCCTCAATTCTTTGCACTATCCACGTCAACACTAATCCCAACTCCAGTACTGCCAACACCACTACACTAGGAAAGAAATACCACCGTCGATAATACGACAAATATTTCGATTCTACAGGAGGTGTCTCCAAGTGAAGTAGCTTCTGCAGTGGCTGACCGCTAAGTTACCAGCACTGCAGAATTTACTTTACGCAAATGAGAGAAAACGGGAGGTGCTCTTCAAATTAGGTATGTCACATCATTTTATTATTACGTGGAACTTAGGAAGTTTATTTTGGACACCTTTAATTTAATGGATTTCCGCAAAGTTCCGTATATTATCTAAAACCATCAACAAAACTATTGGATGAAAATAAAGGAGGGTAAAATATAAAAATTACTTTTTCAAATTAACTGTCGCCAAATAATGTTTGGGTCTGAAGGGTAGAGAAATCCAGTATATTTACAAGCTACGAGGCATTCCTTCTTGATCCTCAGTGGTCATCTGTAGCATCCATTACAGCCCATAAAAGTAAAGGCTTTTATTGAATTGGTTTTTATAACTAAGATGCTGTCGACGATTTCCTGTTTTAGTTTCGCTTTGTAGTCTTTTGTAATACCCACGAGGCGATATGCGGTAGTGGATATTATTATACCTTTACTACACGATTTGTAGTAGCCACTCACCATTAAGTACACTATAAGTTCGTTTGTCATGCAATTCTTATAAAAAAATTCACGCGAGGTGTTTGCCTGCATAAAAACGAGACTATGTTGATTTATGGTGAAAAACCCATTCAACATTTTGAACTCCCATTTCATCGAGTAAAACAACAGTATTACAAGTGCTAAAATACCGAATTTTCGTCCAACTCACTCGCTTAGTATGGTAATCCAGTTAGTGGGGAATTAAAAAAGCCTTTGCTTAAAAAAGGGTGGAAAAGAAAAGATTTTTAAAATACAATTTATTTCTCTATGTTTAAATTATTATTAATTACTTTATGTTAAATAAAACAGCACTGATATAAATAATCACTTTACAATCACTTTAAACTTAAATTTACTGTCATGGTCATATATGAACATTTTTTTTTTGTGTCTATTTCGCGTTAAATTCTCAAGGGTACGTCCTGTGTTCACCTTACAGGTAACCACAACTTACACATTATTCCAGCCTGCTAAGTCAAAAAGTAAAAATCATTTTTTTTCACGCAAGCTGGATTATACTATATACTTGATCAATAATATCTATTTTCTCTTTTAGGCCCTATTTGAACAGCATGGTTCAGTCATTTTTGCAAAATCTCTCACTGACTCGATAATGGTGTGAATAAGCAACTTTCAAAAAATGTATACCAATTGATGCAAACTTGTGACGGTCTGTTTCTAGCGCTGAACGAAATAGGCTTAAAAAGTTTTGTAACATGATACATTGGGTACGTTTGGCAAAAAAAAAAGCGCTAGCAAGCGCTTACAAGCGCTAAAATAGTTTTCGGCCAGGACACGATTGCTACTTCAATAGCGCTGACACAATCCGCCATTTTGCTTATTTAATTTGTTTGTTTTGAAGTTGTTGCTAGATTGGTATGAGGTGAGGAAAATAGCTACTTACGATTTGACAGCGCTTACCGCTTACGATCGCCATTTTGCTTACAAGCGCACAAACCACATTTATTATTTAATAAGGCTATTTATCCTAACAAAAAAGGCTGTTGTTAAACAAAGGCCTTTCTAATAGAACAGATAGCCTCATAGGGAGAATATTTGCTGTTGTCACCACGCCGACGGAAAACCGAATTATGAGTCAAAAATATAATGAAATAGTTCATTTGAAAACATATAATTTCAACGAGGAAACCTTGTAGTGAAATTACAAGGTTTCCTCGTTAAAATTATTTTGTAAATAAAATTCAACATCTTTTAAATCTCGATGTGTTCTTAATCAGAAACTGATTTAAGACGATATGTATTATTCGAAACCCGATGGTTTCAACAACCCTTAAATGAACAATAAAATAACAAAACATTTAACAAGAGGGCTGGCAACTGATAATTACTGAACCTGGCCCGCCACATAACGACTCTACATATACCTAGAGATACAATAACTAATAATATTACAGATAGGAGGTGCCATTGATGGATGAGAAATGCATTCCTCCACATCGCGATCTCACCGTACATCCACGTACCACTCGAGTTCACGTGACAATATAATAAGAGCTTCAAACAAAGAAGGCTAAAAATTCATTTTCATCTTTAGCCTTCTTTCTTTTGATGACCATGATAAAATGCCGCACAGCCTGTAGTTATGCTGGCTTTCTCTTTCCTTCAGACCGGATCACAGCAGTACTTGGCGGTTAAAATTGGTAAGAGGGTGGTACCAACCCAGACGGACCCCAAGGTAGAAAAGGATCCTACCATCTAGAGATTACTTAAGCTATCAGAGCTGGGATCCGTACATCGCATCGCAGATGGCGCAGGGGTTAGGTGACTCATCCGTACACTGACTTATGAGTAGATAACACCGTACTACAGCTATAACATCCAGCCACAAACTAAATTATAATTTATCGTCATAATTTTCATCATCGTCATCATAATCACACTGAGCACAAGCATTAGTGAAAAATGACCGCTCAAACGTTAAGCTGAAAGCCGGCGTTTAACTAATGGCCTAGCCATCTAATTAACAGAGTGTTGAACCATCAGCCTGTATGATGATCTGCTTTATTTTTTGAATAAACGATTGTATGGCACTAAACATAATATATTTAACTATTTACAAACTTGAACGTACATCAAGCATAGGGTATTTTATTTTATTTATGCCAGCAATTTTTATTACAACTTAGTCTTGGAATTGGACTTTTTATTAATTAATTACATTTCCCTTATTAATGTATGTATTAAGTATTCAAGCTTAATCTATTGGTCGTTTTCTTAAGTTTACTTTGCCTTTTTATTTATTAATTACATTTTTGTAACTCTTTAGTATTAAAGTTTTGTAAGCGAAAGGTCGGCAAAAATACGCTTAATCTTTTTCAAACAAAGATAATTTACTAGGTAATCGCATCGTAATTTTTTTAATAATAAAATAATTTTTTCATTTTGTTCGCGAATTCACGAAAATCTCCTAATACTTGAAAAGCATATTGGTTATTGTAAATAACTCCAGATTTACAATAATCACTACGCTGTTTGACGATCGCAGTACATGAATACCGATTAAGCTGATCAAAATCTTCCAAAATCACCAGAATGTGACAAAATACTAAGAAATTTTTTAGAAAAAATATAGTAGGAGGTACCATGTGTATAGAATTTATTATATTACATATACTATACGAGTATAAGGCATACGCGAGATATAATTGTACTGGCAATTGTCGGTACCTTGAAATGTCTCTAGTACTTCGCATTTTCATCACTCGG